TGGAGGAAAGACGAGACAGGGGGGATATGATAGAAACATTTAAATATATAAAGGGAATCAACACAGTAAAGGAGGAGACTATATTTAAAAGAAGAAAAACTACCACAACAAGAGGACATAGTCTTAAATTAGAGGAACAAAGGTTTAAAAATAATATCAGGAAGTATTACTTTACTGAGAGGGTAGTGGATGCATGGAATAGCCCTCCAGCTGAAGTGGTAGAGGTTAACACAGTAAAGGAGTTTAAGCATGCGTGGGATAGGCATAAGGCTATCCTAACTATAAGATAAGACTAGGGACTAATGAAAGTATTTAGAAAATTGGGCAGACTAGATGGGCCGAATGGTTCTCATCTGCCGTCACATTCTATGTTTCTATGTTTCTATGGTTATTCCATCTAAAGGGATGTTTGTTTCTGGTAAGAGTATAGAGAGGATGGGCTATCTCAATGAAATTCTTGATAAACTTTCTATAAAAATTAGCAAAACCGAGGAATCTCTGGACATCTTTGGTAGAAGAAGGTATAGGCCAGTCAAGAATGCATTTTATTTTTGAATCATCCATTATTATTGAATGAGGTGAAATAATATAGCCAAGAAAATTGAGTTCTTTAACTTCGAATAAACATTTGGCATAAAGTTTGTGAATTCTTAATCGGGATAACACCCAGCGTACATGTTTACTATGATCTTTAAGGTTATCGGAATAAATTAATATATCATCTAGATAAATAATGACACAAGTGTCTAAGAGGTCTCTGAAAATATCATTAATAAAGTGTTGGAAAGTAGCAGGAGCATTACAGAGTCCGAATGGCATAACCAAATATTCAAGCAGGCCATATCTAGTACGGAAAGCCGTTTCCCATTCATCATCTTTTTTAATCCTAATTAGGTTGTAAGCTCCTCGGAGATCAAGTTTGGTAAAGATAGTTGCCGTCCGTAATCTTTCAATTAGTTCAGGAATCAAAGGTAGAGGGTAGCGTTTTTTTACTGTGATTTTATTTAAAGCACAGTAATCAATTATGGGACGTATAGTTTGATCTTTTTTTCTAACAAAGAAGATCCCGGAGGCAGCAGGAGAAGTAGAAGGACGTATAAATCCTTTACGAAGGTTTTCATCGAGGTACTCCTTAAGAATTTCCAATTCTTTTTCAGAAAGTGGATATATGTAACCATAGGGGATAGGAGCACCAGGAATTAGATCAATAGGACAATCATAAATTCTATGGGGAGGAAGAGTTTCAGCTTCTTTTTTACTAAATACATCAGAAAAATCCGAATATGGTTCTGGTATTAGAGTTTCATGACTTAATTGAAATATAGGAACTTGAGGGAGACAATTGTTCTTACAATATTCTGAGTCAAAGGTGAGAGAAAATGGAGCCCAACGAATGAAGGGATTATGAATTTGTAACCAGTTGATTCCTAAGATGATTGGAAAAAGGGGGGATTTTATAATATCAAAAACAAGAAATTCTGAATGGTTATTATTGATAGTGGTCAAAACTGGAATAGTTTAATTTTTTATGGGACCAGAGGGGGTTAAAGATCCATCAATAACTCTGATGGAGACAAAAGATGCTTTTTTCAAACAAGGAATTTTATTGGCTTCAACAAACGAAGAATCTATGAATATCCCTGTAGCACCAGAATCAATAATGGCCTCAGTCTTGATTCTTTCTTTGTCCCACTGTAAAATTAGAGGTACAGCAAACTGATGAGAGGAGGAAGAGGGTAGTGTTTTTAGAATTGAGGTATTAATTTTAGGTTTACCTCCCTTAGAGCGTTTTAGAAGAGGACATTCTTGTAAGAGATGTTCTTTAGAGGCACAGTACATACAAAGATTTAAGTCTCTCCTCCTTCTTTTTTCTTCCATAGACAAAGGTCCCCTAGTAAACCCAACTTCCATAGGTTCACTGGGTTGCAAGGGTTTATTAGGCATTAGCAAAGGTGGATTGGGTTTTTTCCAAAATTAATTAGAGAGAGCCTTTTCAGCTTTTAATTCTCTGATTATTCTATCTATACTAATAGAGAGTTGAATTAATATATCAAGCGTTGGGGGAAGAGTGGTTCTAGATAGTTCATCTTTAACTGTTTCAGATAATCCTAAACAGAACTGATTACGTAGAGCTATATCATTCCATTGGGTTTCTGAAGCCCATCTTTTGAACTCAGCTATATAATTCTCCACTGGACGATTTATTTGTTGTAATCTAATAGTAAGATCAGCAGTAGCTTGTTTATTAGAGTCCTCATAAAGTAATGACATTGCTTCAATAAAATTATCCAAAGAATCCAAAATAGGATCTTCATTTTCCAGAAATTAATGTGCCCAGGACATAGGTTCACCCCTTAAGTAGGAAATTATATTGAACAGACCTTAATTCTGTCTAAGGGGTAAGGCCTGGGATTGAGAGTAAAAAATTATTTGCATGAATTAAAAAATTCTCTATATTTAGAACGATCTCCAAAAAAAATTTCGGGATTGGAGACAGCAGGGTCACTTGAAGAATGTGTAACTTTATTTTGCATTTCTCTAATATAAGAAAGAAGTCTCTAATTAGCAATGTGCAAATCCTGCATGCCTTGTGTGAGCATTTCAACCCTGTGGGTTAAAGAGCTAATTTGGGAATTTACATCTGCTGGTTCCATTTTGGGGCTTGGAGATTCTGTTACGCTACTTGGGTGATTTGGATTGGAACTCAACTGCAGCTTGTAAAACTCCCTAATTACAATAGTGAAGAAACAGAGAATCTTTAAAGTATCAATACTGTAGCTTTAAGAAAAGAGAGAATTGCTGGTAACTTGATTCAAATTAAGTTTTAATAAGTGTTAAACGTAAATTAATTGCATTTAGGCAATAATCCAATAAGAAGAAGTGCAAGTAATCAACAACACAAAGTTCATTAATAAGTATTTTCTCAAAGATGCATTAAGTAACATTCTTTAGGTTAATGAGAATAATCTTCAATAGTAACTTTAAGCAAGTAGCTGAGAATATTTGCAAAGCAGGAACAGTTCATAGTTAATAAGCATGATGGGAGTTGTCCTCCATATAATTAGTAGCTTGAAGCACTGAGTGTATTTGCAAAGCAAGAAACAGTTGATTGTGAATAAGCATGATGGGAGTTGTCCTTCATATAATTAGTAGCTTGAAGCAGTGAAGATTTAGTAAGCAAGCATTAGTTCATTATTAAATTATATTGTAGGCAATTACCTGAAAGATATACTTAAGGTTAATGTGAGTAGTCCTCCAATAGTTCTGAGGTATGGTCCACTTGTAACGTAAATGAGTTTCTGTTCTCCAGTAATCCTCTATGAAGTATACTATTCTTAGTCCAGAAGGCTAGGACGACATCAGAGCTTGTAGAGCCGGCGTGTCCCAGGAGCCGGCGTGCATACTCGGAAGTAGGACCCACATTGCCAGAGCCTGTGGAGAGTTAAGTCTGGCGGAAGTAGCTCCCAGTATCACCAAGCACCCTCTCTCTTGCGCGGTCTCCCTAAATACCGTCAGAGCCGCGTCAGAGGAGGGCGGGGTCCGGCTCCGCACAGCGGAGTTCTGAACCCGGAAGTGTTACCGCATGACAGTGAGAGTGTATGTGTGTCTGAGTGTGTCAGTGTGTATTTGTGTGTCAAGGTTTGTGTATGTGTCACTGTGTGTATCTAAGTGTGTATGCCAGTGTGTTTGTATGTCTGCGTGTGTGTATGTCAGTGTGTGTATGACACTGTGTGTATGTGTCAATGTGTGTATTGTTCTGGATCCAAATAATAATCTTTATTATATTCAGAGGAAGACCAAATTATTATTACAAGTGCACTTGGAGAAGCGAGAATAATACACCAGACACCTGTTGGTATTCAAAATAAGCCTCTGACGTTATATTCATCAGCTGGGTTTTATACATTAAAAAGTAGGTGCTTACGTGCAAATACTCTTAGACCAGTAATAGGAAGAGAGTACAGATAAGACATAGGGATGAGCATCATGTACACATAACAAATAAGATAAAATAGAATGTAAGCTCGATTGAGCAGGGTCCTCTTCAACCTATTGTTCCTGTAAGTTTATTTGTAAATGTCCTAATTATAGTTAAATCCCCTCTCATAATATTGTAAAGCGCTACGGAATCTGTTGGCGCTATATAAATGGCAATAATAATAATAATAATAAGTTTCAAGGTAAGAGAGAACAAAAAGATTAGAGAAGAGACATCTTAGGTGGGGGCTCTCTGCTCCCGGAACTTAGACATATATGGTCTTAAGTGTTGTTTAAGCATCAAGCATTTCCTGAGTCCAAGTTAGCCAATTTTAATATAGGATGTCATTATATGACACCTATAAGCTTGAGCCTTGGAATCAAGATAAATTCTATCACAGTATCTGAGTGTGTGTATGTGCCAGTGTGTGTATCTGTGGGTGCAAGTGTGTGTATATGTCACTGTGTGTATCTGAGTGTTTGTGTATTTGTGAGTCAAGAGGTGGGGTTCCACGATGTTGATACACTATGTCAAAGGGTTCCACAGGAAAAATTAATTGGGAACCCCTGAATTAGAGGCAGAACTTCCCTGTAGAAAATATATGACTCAGCAAAGATTTATAATGCAATCCTAGGCTATCCTATTTATTTATTAAGATATCTAAATAGATCAAATTATTATTCACATGTTACATATTTATATAATTTTTTAACATCATAACAAACATGTTTAATGTTATCATGCAATAGGACTTTCTATTTAGAATTCCAAAGAAGTCCATTTGAAGGTCATCCCAGAGCTGCTTTTCATTGGAAATATATCAGGAGAAAGGCATGTGTAGTCAATTAGTGGCTAAATGCCAGAACTCCTATATATATTTCCATTGGCTAGATATGCACGCATGATGTAATGTAAGAAAATAAAAAATACAAACACACACATAATGTATATATATACAGCACCCACCCACACACAGCATATATATACATGCCGCTTGTGTGTTTGTGCTTTAGGGTGCACACCCTAAAGCACCGGTGTCTACTACAACACTGGCCAGATGGGTCTGCTGGCTTTTATCGTTAGCTGGCGTTGAACCATGCTTTGGGGCCCACTCAGTCAGGGGTGCGGCCGCTTCACAAGCTTTCTCGGTAGGAGCCACTCTTGCCGACATTATGCGTTGTGCGGATTGGAAGCACAAGAGTACTTTCAGGAAGTTTTATTTTCGGCAGACTTCTCATGCCTCTTTTACGTTGATTAATTCTTAGCGTTAAAAATGCAAATATGAAGCCTCCTGTCATGTGGTAAAATTGTAGATTATGCTAACGTAGTGTACCTATAATCTTAATTTTAGTAATGACAGGATGCGAATATTTCCCACCCTATTTTTCCCTCCCGAATTATAGAAATGGTTATGTAACGTTATATATATTTTTCACTGATTGAACTTTATAAGATGGTTATGTATCACAATTACATAACTTTGACGTTTCAGGATTAGTTTTTTCTTGCTATCATGACATACATAATAGTTGTTACAAAGTCTTTGATGTTCATTATATGCGGGCAACTTGCCAATTCAGATGCCTTTCACTTTTTTCTTTTTCTTTCAGTGTGATTGGTTATCTCTGAAGGAGGGAATCACCTTTTCTGTTCAATTACCTGAAGTTCCTACCGGATTTGGGATGACATTGTTGGATTTAAAGGATCACTATAGGGTCAGGAACACAAACATGTATTCCCGACCCTATAGTGTTAAAACCACCATCTAGCCTCACTGGGCCCCTCATGCCTCCATAAATATAGCAAAATCTTACTGTATTCGAGCCTGAAGTTGTTACTCTGCATGCTGTTTGCCTCAGAAAAACAAGCAGTCTGCTGACATCATCAGAAGTGGTAGTCTGATCCAATCACAATGCTTCCCCATAGGATTGGCTGAGACTGACAAAGAGGCAGATCAGGGGCAGAGGCAGTATTATTCAAACACAGCCCTGGCCAATCAGCATCTCCTCATAGAGAGGAATTTAATCAATTAATCTCTATGAGAAAAGTTCAGTGTCTGCATGCAGAGGGAGGAGACACTGAATGCTTGGATGCATTTTAGGCAGCCATGACCCAGGAAGGATCTCTAACAGCCATCTGAGGAGTGGACAGTGAAGTTATCACTAGGCTGTGATGTAAACATTGCATTTTCTCTGAAAAGACAATGTTTACAACAAAAAGCCTGAAGGTAATGATTCTAATCATCAGAACAAATTCAATAAGCTGTAGTTGTTCTGGTGACTATAGTGTCCCTTTAACTTTGGAATTAAGTAGTTGGTCAGGTTTTTTTTCTGTGTTTTGTCTACCTGTTTTATACTCGCTTCAAAGAAAGAGGAAGTAATGTAACTGTCTGGGCCTTTTATGCATCACCTGACTTTTTTCTGTTGTTTTTGTTTCTGTGCTGCTGGAGCTTTTCAGTAAATAAAGTTATGCAAATATTCGCCTCCTGTCATTACTAAAATTAAGATTATATGTACACTACGTTAGCATAATCTGCAATTGTGGGCACCTGTTTTAAAGAGGGATATTATGGCACTGGAGAGTGTGCAGAGGTGGGCTACAAGATTAATAAAAGGAATGGAACATATCAGCTATGAAGAAAGGTTAACAAATTTAAACCTCTTTAGTTTAGAAAAATGTTGTCTCAGAGAGGATATGATAACATTATACAAATATATCCGGGACCAATACAAACCATTGTGTGGAAATCTATTCACAAACCAGACTTTACATAGGACATGAGGTCATGCGTTTAGAAGAAAAAAGATTTAGTCTAAGGCAAAATGATTTTTTACTGTAAGAACAATAAGGATGTGAAATTCTCTGCCTGAAGAAGTGGTTTTATCAGAGTTCATACAGATGTTCAAACAGCAACTAGATGCATACTTGCAAAAACAGAATATTCAAGGATATAATTTTTCAATGTAGGGTAATAGTTTCTTGATCCAAGGATTAATCTGGCTGCCATTCTGGGGTCAAGAAGGAATTTTGTTCCTAGTTTGTTGCAAAATTGGAAGTGCTTCAAACTGTTTTTTCCCCCCTTCTTTTGGATCAACAGCAAAAAACAAATGTGAGGAAGGCTGAACTTCAGCTTTGTAACTATATATATTTGAGCCTATGGTTTTGCTCCTGATTTGTGAGAGCTTTTATATTCTTAAAGAGACATCGGGTATACTACAATATTGCACCATATCTATCTTCTTTAATCTACTACATAGGACGGTTCTAGAAGGATCTTGAACACAAGAAGGTGAGGGTCATCTTAACGGGCCTTGTTGTTAACACTAAATATGTGAGCGTTTCCTTGACACATTATAACACATTATTTTGTCATAAGGTCTTACACTATTGTATATATATATATATATATATATATATATATTGTTCAAGTAGAGATTGTAGCCGTATTAGTCCAGTGATGTAGATGTAAAAAACAGATACAATTCTTATCTTGTAATACCTTTTTTATTGGACTAACATAATTTTTTAATTACATGCTTTCGGGAGAACCTCCCTTTCTCAAGTCTTGAGAAAGGGAGGTTCTCCCGAAAGCTTGTCATTAAAAAATTCTGTTAGTCCAATAAAAAAGGTATTACAAGATAAGAATTGTATCTGTTTTTATCTATCTATCTATATATATATATATATATATATATATATATATATATATTAAAAGGCTTGGCCTGTAGTTGTGGGAGGGGCTTGGTTTCCCTATAAAAAGGCTGCCAATCCACTCCCACATTACCGTAATGGTCTGGCGAGTCTGAAACGTTACTTCCGGTTCAGACCGCCATTTTGGATTCCTCTTACCTGTTTCCTCGTGGTCTCCTGGTCCGGTGCCCTCCTGAGTGGTTCCGGGCTCTCCAGGGCGCTTTTCCCGCCGTCACCGCCGACTGCACAGCTTCCCCGGTACTGCTGCCGCCAAAAAACCGTAAGTGGGCCCGCCGTAAAGCAAACCGCTTCACATTTACGGCTTACACGGCGGAGCCCCATTCGCATTCAACCGCATTCGGTTATTTTCGCCTAAATACACTTCGCCACTAAGCTATGTAATTCATGTTTTAGATGTCATACGAACGCTACATTCGGCTAGATACTTAGGATTTCTACTATACAAAATAGTCATTATATACTATCAGCACATTCGACTCAAATTCGTGCATTTCTCACTAATTATACAAAATCCTGCATCCACTTCTTAGGTGGAATCTCGCCCCCTACAGGTCAATAATGATATAGCACCAAAATAAATACAAATTAATTTTTTTTTTTCCTTTCTTCTCCCTTAAATTATGCTACACTTAATTCAATCCTGATTTCTGACATCTTCCAACAGGTTGCCTTACCAGAATTCATATTAAAATTTGGGGACCCAGTGATCGGTATCAATTATACTTTATAGGTTGGTAACATTGTCATATGATTCATATAAATTACCATATAAACATATGATTTTAGGTAAAAATGTTATAATTTACTCTCCTAGGTTTAATCATTGGAACGGTAGCTTTTACAAGCAAGGAGCCGGTTTCTTTTGATTATATCTCCTCCGCAGTTATCGGGTAGGTTCTGGTCCACGATCTGGCCTAACTACCACCCCACTTTCCAGATATTTACTTATCATCTTATACCTACAGGTCAACTACCCGACAAATATCACAGTTACGTCATTGAGAGATCAGCCTGACTCACTATCAGGTACTACGCCAGAACCCAATATACCCTAAAATATTGAGGGGTACTGGTCCCAGGTTAGGTGGCCCAATTAGTTAAAATATTTCTGGTCTTAATCCATAGGCTAGTGGTCCCGCGAGGCCAACATCCCTAACCTCACACTCGGAGGTAATACGTCCCTCGGGCCAAATCATAGCTAGCCGCCTCGCATCAATATACAGAGAGGGCCTCACCTGTCACTCCCAATCTTTTTATGCTTTAAATGACACCGAGAGGCCTACACCCCGCCACAACGTTCGGTGGCCTCAATCTTCCCCTCGGGCCCACGCATAGATAGTGCCTCTCAAGCCGCTTGGCAACTAGCAGGGTCTCATCTGTCACTCTCAAAAGAAGTTTAATTGTTTCACCGCTTGGTACTTAGCTAGCCCACCAGTACCCACCCACAATACATTTTATACGACTGACTGTTTATATTTATAATTTCAGTTATGTCACTAACGCCTGATATCCCTGAAGAACTGTCACTACCTAGCACACCCGCTAGGCCTGCCACCCCTGTTCCGGGTACAGACGTGAATAGCCCTGCATCCCTTAGATCATGGACCATACCACGTCTTACAGCTGAACTAAGAAGACGCTGCATCCCTTTCCCGGCTACAGCTAGGAAGGCGGAGTTGTATAGGCTATTATACACTACCACTGACAACTCCGATGCAGGAGAAGGCACTAGTGGATCGCAAATGCCAGCATTTCATGCTATGATGACGTCCCTTATGGCATCCATAGGGACAATCAGCGACAGGCTGGACAAATGGGAGGCCGGTAGTGTTACTCAGTCCACAAATGCAACGGTCACCACTCAGCCTCTTGCTAATACCTTACCCGGTAATACCCTGGCAGCTAGGGCTGACATAGAATCCATTGATCCTTCACACATGGTCCCAGCTCACCTTAAAAAAGACATTCTGGAAGGCAAGGACGTTAACCTAGCTTCATTGCTCATTGCCTCCCAGGATGTCCTTGAGAACAGGACCTTTGCTTGTGGGGATGTTTCCATAGTCCTTAGAGCTAGAGACCCTCGCCTAAACAAAAAATTGAACATCCCAGAATTTGTATTAGGGTTTGGCATCTATAGGGATGTATATTGCACTGTATACCCAGGGAAAAGAGCCGAGCTGGATACGTACATGCACAAGTTGGTGGATCTGGGACACAAATACGGTGGTACAGCGTTTTACGATTACCACCGTTCCTTCTCTGCAAAAGTGGCAGCAGCTCTGGCTCAGTTCAACTTAAACATCAATTGGAGCAAGTTGGACACTGAGCTATTCTGTAGGCACTTTGCAGGCCTCAGGCCCCCAACTTGTGCAGTATGTTCATCAGCAACCCACAGCACAAATTTCTGCCCTAATACAGCTGAGGTAGAACAAAACCAAGCAGCAACTTACCCCCCAAGATCAAACAAAGGTTTGAAAGACAAACTAGGAAGAGATATTGTCTTCTTAGGGAAATCCCAAGTATGTAACAATTTTAATGCCGGCAATTGTGGTTTTAGTTCCTGTAGACTAATGCATGTTTGTTCACATTGTTTCAGGGCTCATTCCAAGACAATGTGCCCAAATAAAGCTTTCCCAAAACCCTATCTCACATGCGTGAACCTCAGCTTATTCACCGATTTGCTACGTCTACACCCATCACGACACTTCAGCGACTATCTCATAACAGGATTATCAGAGGGATTTCACACAGGGTTGATACATTTACCTACAGGCACACTGGAATGTGACAACTTACTTTCCACACGGGATGACCCACAGCTGGTACTTAAACTTATCACAACCGAGGTGAAACAAGGTTTTTTGCTGGGTCCATTCCTTTCACCACCCTTCAATTCTTGGAGAACCAATCCCATTGGGATTGTCACGGGGAAAAACTCACTTAAACCCAGGCTGATCATTGATTTATCCGCACCACATTCCTCCACGGTCCCTAGCCTAAATTCACTGATACCATCTGAAGAGTTTTCACTACATTACGCCACTATCGACCATGCCATCGGGGCTATCATTAAAGCTGGCACAGGGGCATGGTTAAGCAAAACGGATGTAGTAAATGCCTTCAAACTACTGCCTATGCACCCTACACTTTGGCACCTTCACGGCATTAAATGGGAAGGGTTATACTATTTCTTCACTCGTCTCACTTTTGGCTCTAAGAGCAGCCCGCGTATTTTCGACACATTTGCAGAGGCTTTATGTTGGTTGTTGCTAAATGTTTACCAATGTCCCTCTGTGATTCACTATTTAGACGACTTCCTCACAATTGAGAACAACACAAGTCCACCCACAAGTTTAAAACACATGTTGGCATTATTTGAGTCACTTTCTGTTCCAGTCTCCCCACACAAGACCCTGGGGCCCGCCACCCAGATGCAATTTTTAGGAATACAACTAAACACAGTACACATGCAGGCCAGCCTCCCTCAGGAGAAAATTGAGCGTATCCTGGCAAGTATTGACCACTACCTACAGCAAGGTCGTTGCACTAAGAAAGACCTACAATCATTGCTGGGATCGCTTAATTTTGCAATGAGAATCATTCCCCAGGGGAGATCATTTATTTCACATTTGCTATCACTATTTCCACAATTCACCTCAGACACATCTTACATTTCACTAGACAAACATGCGACATCCGATTTGAGCATGTGGAGGATTTTCCTCACTTCTTGGAATGGGCGTGCCATGTTTATACCATCTCACTCAGACACTTCACCCACAATATGGACAGACGCTGCAGCAAACACGGGGTTTGCAGCCATATGGGGTGACCTATGGCTCGTGGGGCCATGGCCAACTGAGGTCAAATCACTCACAAAATTCACAGAGACCTCAGCTTTATTCGAATTGTACCCCATCGTGGCTGCGGCCGTTACCTGGGGCCGCCAGTGGTCCGGTCACACGGTGTGGTGCTATTCTGATAATATGGCTACTTGCCATATTGTCAATAAAGGCCGGTCATCATCCCTGGTAATTATGAGGCTATTGAGACGACTCACATGGATAGCAGCCACTTGTCAATTCTTTCTAACATGTATTCACGTTCCAGGGTGCACAAACATCAGTGCTGATCACTTGTCTCGATTTCGTTTTCAGGAATTCTTCACGACACTACCCACCGCCTCCAGACGGGCAACTCCAGTCCCACTTTTCACAGACATGATAATGGATTAAAAGCTTTGTTAAATCACGCACGTCACATTTCTCACATGGCACTCTCTGTAAACACTAGAAACACTTACGACAGAGCTTTTCACATATTCAAAAAATTCATCACTGAATTTCACATTCACGATATGTTCACGATAGAAACAATATTGGGTTTCACTTCTTTTTGCCACATCAACCTTAAACTATCATTTAACACTATAAAACTATACCTTACGGGAATTCAACACCACATGCTAATTCAACAACCCAACGCCACGAGTTTCCTGTCCTCATATCAAATCAAGACAGTTCTTAGAGGCATTAAGAAATTAGATACACATATCCCCGAGAAACGACTACCTATTGATAACCACATATTTCATGCACTAGTAAACTTGTTAGATTCCTCTCCTTTTGAGCCCAGGACAAACACGGTAATAAAATCAGCCATATATCTTGCTTTTTATGGATTCCTCCGTCCCAACGAATTCACAACTAGGACTATCACGTCCCCTGATTACCTAAGAATTATGGACTTAGCGAAACAGAACGACCATTACCTACTCACGCTAAAACACTCAAAAACCAGCGCCATAGGTCATACCGTTACGATCCCCTTATACCCTACTCATAACAAATGGTGCCCTGTACAAAATTTTGACAATTATCTATTATCACTCCACAAACAACCATTACAACCTTTGCTAGAACTGCACGGTAACGTTCTAACTACAGTAAAGTTTATGCTCTATGTAAGACTGCTGTTGACTAGACTCGGCTTGAACCCTAGTCAATTTTCGGGTCATTCTTTCCGAATAGGAGCAGCATCTACAGCTTCTGCTAACCACATTCCTCCGCACATCATCAAAACAATGGGACGCTGGAAATCTTCCGCTTATACTCTGTACATACCCAATCCTGTTAAAGAATTAAGACTAGCTTTCTGTGACTTATCTAAATAAAGTTTTGGTCAACGTATTACGTCTTATGATAATTTATTTTTGCCCACTTTTACAGGCCTACTCCTCTGTCGGTTTCGGCACACCACAACCGACTAATTCCAAATATTGATATGTTATCATATGCTATGTTTCCATATACGGCTATATTGCCACGACCACAAATTAAAAGGCTTGGCCTGTAGTTGTGGGAGGGGCTTGGTTTCCCTATAAAAAGGCTGCCAATCCACTCCCACATTACCGTAATGGTCTGGCGAGTCAACCCACCCACCACTCCCTCTATTACAAACACCCTCTAAGGTGGGCCCACTTTTACAGGCCTACTCCTCTGTCGGTTTCGGCACACCACAACCGACTAATTCCAAATATTGATATGTTATCATATGCTATGTTTCCATATACGGCTATATTGCCACGACCACAAATATATATATATATACACACTTAAAGGTATACAACCATGATATAGCGATAATATATTACTCTCTAAGGTATATAAGACACTTTTTAATTTAATTATTTTTATTATATATATTAGCGCTACACCATTTTGTAAATTAGAGTTCTTATACAAAGTTCTGTTTTTGTGCATTGTTATTACTTATGTGTATTCTCTTCAACTAGAAAAATTGTGTTGGATGTATATGGAGTACAGTTTTATGTTTATATGCCTAAAGTATAGCCAAAAATGTGTTCTTTTGACTCTGCTGTGTAGGGTGTGAAAAGTGCTGCCCTTTGTGAAATTGAAAAGCATTGTATTGGTGTGGCGGCACTTTTCATGTCCTGTATAGCAGTTTGCTAAAATTTTACCATGTTTCTCACTACTGCCTCACGTATCCATGGGCAGTAGTAAGTAATATCAAGATAGCATTAAGTCAATATATAATGCAAAAAAAGTTTATTAAACAACAACAGATAAAAGGCTAACAAGCAAGTAAAAAAGAAATTTAAAGTGCACACAATGCATTTTGCCTTTAAAAAGGCTTTTTCAAGTGTCACTTGATTACAGGTAAGTAAAGGGTTATTTTACCTACAACTTTTTTTAAAAAAAGAGGCCCCTGAAATTAAAATGACCAAACAAACTCTCTGGTATAAAAGTTTAAAACATTTAAGTTTAAGCACTATAGTTTGCCTTTAAGAGGTTTAAAAAAAAAAAATATTGACATTACATATGTTTTTATGTGTAATGTAGAATTAGAGGGACAATCTGGTCACCATTACAACTTCATCTCAACAAATTTGATTTGGTGCCACGAGGTTCCGCGATGTTCCGGGATAACCATTTTACTAGCTGTCGTTCATAAACCTCTGTAAAAAAAGTGTGTACCTTATGGATCAAAGCCTCAGACGGAGCTGGAAAGTTTGTGGTTAAACCATTCGTAAATAGTTTCACCCCTTAACCCCTGCAGTACTGAGCACTTATTGATTGACAAAATATGAGCGCACCATTTATTTGAAGCATGTTGTGCATAGTAATCATATAAAGATATAACACAGCAATTTTGTGTATAGCTTGCATTGCAAACGTAAACATTTTAAATATATAAACTGACCCAATTTTTATTTTTCACTTATTTGTTCATCCTTTACAAAAATATTTGGGAAAATAAATGCTTAAGACAATATACAGTGTCCTTTATTTTGTAATATTTCACCCAAAGTCTGGAATGTTAGTGTAAGTGTTAGTGTAGTGTAGTGTAAGAATGTTAGTGAGATTCTTTTCTTTCAGGAAGTGTTCCAGAGGATTGGAGGAAGGCAGATGTGGTTCCTATATTCAAAAAGGGTTCAAAATCCTTGCCTGGAAATTATAGACCTGTGAGCTTAACTTCTGTGGCTGGTAAAATATTTGAAAGGTTATTAAGGGATAATATTCAAGAATTCCTTGAGAAGAAAATGGTTATCAGCAAAAATCAGCACGGTTTTATGAAGCACAGGTCATGTCAAACTAACTTGATTGCGTTCTACGAAGAAGTAAGTAGAAGTATAGATCAGGGTGTTGCCGTGGATGTGATCTATTTGGATTTTGCCAAGGCATTTGATACAGTTCCACACAATAGATTAGTGTTCAAACTCAAGGAAATTGGTCTAGATGAAAATGCTTGTTCTTGGGTAGAACATTGGCTTAAAAACAGAGTACAAAGAGTTGTCATTAATGGTAAATTTTCAAGTTGGACAGAGGTGGCAAATGGTGTCCCTCAGGGGTCTGTTCTGGGACCCCTTCTATTTAACATGTTTATAAATGATCTTGAAGACAGCATTGAAAGTCATGTTTCAGTGCTTGCAGATGACACAAAACTTTGTAAAATAATACAATGTGAGCAAGATATTACTTTGCTGCAGAGGGATTTAGATAGACTGGGGGACTGGGCACTCAAATGGCAGATGAAATTTAATGTTGAAAAATGCAAAGTTATGCACTTCGGCGTAAAGAATACACAAGCAACGTATACCCTTAATGGAAGCGAATTAGGGATAACAACACACGAAAAGGACTTGGGAATTGTTATAGACAACAAACTATGTAACAATGTGCAATGTCAATAAGCAGTGGCCAAGGCCAGTAAGGTATTGTCATGCATGAAAAAGGGCATTCATTCTCGGGACGAGAATATCATTTCGTCTTAACATTGGTAAGACCCCATATTGAATATGCTGTGCAATTTTGGGCACCTGTTCTAAAGAATGATATTATAGCACTAGAAAGAGTGCAGAGGCGGGCTACAAAATTAATAAAAGGAATGGAACATATCAGCTACGAAGAAAGGTTAACAAATTTAAACCTATTTAATTTAGAAAAACGTCGCCTGAGAGGGGATATGATAACATTATACAAATATATGCAGGGCAAATACAAACCATTGTGCGGAAATCTATTCACAAACCGGACTTTACATAGGACACGAGGCCATGCATTTAGACTGGAAGAAAGAAGATTTTGTCTAAGGCAAAGGAAAGGTTTTCTTACTGTAAGAACAATCAGGATGTGGAATTCTCTGCCTGAAGAAGTGGTTTTATCAGAGTCCATACAGATGTTCAAACAGCTACTAGATGCATACTTGCAAAAACAGAATATTCAAGGATATAATCTTTTAATGTAGGGTAGTAACTGCTTGATCCAAGGATAAATCTGACTGCCATTCTGGGGTCAAGAAGGAATTTTTTCCTATCTTGTTGCAAAATTGTGTTTCAAACTAGGTTTTTTTGCCTTCTTTTGGATCAACAGCAAAAAACAAATGTGAGGAAGGCTGAACTTGATGGACGCAAGTCTCTTTTCAGTTATGTAACTATGTAACTATGTAAGAGCAAAAATTAATTTTTTCTTTTGACAAAAATATATAAATACAAATTATCAAATACCATGCCTATAAGTATTTGAAAGTATATACAATAATCAATATTTATTGTGTCGGCACTCTATTACAGGGTGGTGCAGGTATTAGAGGTAATCTCAATGAGGACCTCAATAATATATACAAAAAATATTAGTTAATACCGCACTCAAATGCATACAATATGCATAAAAAAGAATCAATATATAGATCTGCAAAAATTCATTTATTATACATTAGATACACCAAATTTGTAAAAAAAAAAAAAAAAAAAAAAGAGGGTAAAAAGACCACTATTGCCAAATATAAAGACTGATGATCACTCTATTAATTAATCTATAATGATATATACAGTACATATGAATTATTTACAACTACATACAGTCTGTAGATATAATATGGATGAAACTGAAAGTTCATATGTACCCTGGTGGATCCACCAGTAATTGATAATCTGATCAGACAAAAAAATATAGTTAAAAAAGGCCAAAAGACAAAAAAAAAAAGATGAAAACAAGAAAAAAGAAAAAATGTAAAAATGAACGAAAAACTGAAAGCTTAAAAAAACCCCCACAAAAATAGGCTGCTTATTGAAGAAAGTTGCTTGGATCTCACCACAGATTATTGAAGATGTGGACTGTATAGTGAAGTCTGTCCACTTGTGGAAAGGTGTCCAGTAGACCGATGGCAAAACAATTCAACGGTGTCCCTTTATCAGATGAATAATAATGAGAGGTAATCCCCAATCGGTTCGGTCTCCATTTCCCATCTCCTGTCTCACGTGTCTCGTGCCTGGTATGTGCCTGGTATGTGCCTGGGCTGCGCGCTCGGGACAGAAATGCCCCTTCAAAGACCCTAGATACAGGAGTGAAATTACTGAACATTTATAGCTAATAATGGCGGCGACCAATGCAATTAATGCCATGGGCCACCCACAAACGTCCATCTTGTGCGCCATCATGTCATGACGTCATTAAAAACAACTTTATTGTACAAAAACTGCATGTAACACGAGACAATTCCATATATATAGAAATTTACCGTCAGTAACACTCTGTCTATAATTAAACATTGATTAAGACAGTATAAAGGGGATACACAATCTATAAATGGAAATTTAATATATCCATGTGGAATAAAGATATGCATGCTGGGGTATTATAAAAGCGGGCATAGCAATATGAAAAATTTAATAACAATTTTTAAGAATAATGCATCTTATTAACTAAAGGACCCCCAGCAAAATTCATAACCAGAGATCAATGTACCAGAATGTATATAGGTTGTAGGTGTAGACCAGGATGATAGATAGTATGAATTCAGAGAGCTGGCGATGTCAAAAGTGTAACATGAAGTGCGACTTTTTGGTCAACGCTAGGGATTCCAGGAGTTTGACCCTTTCATCATCAAGGGCATGGCAAATCCTAGGAATCTCTTGCCCCAATAGGCATATGAAGATTTTGGCTATGTTGTGGACTAGGGGAGCAGTGGAGATGGTGAGGTGGTAAGGATGAGAAGTGGGGCCACATTGCGCCAGACTTGCATGGTCGCTTTGATAAGGGGATGTGGGGCTGCCAGCTGTCTGCCCTGGTGTTGTTCTAGCCAGGGGAGGATGGAAACTGGTCTGCCGATCTGTGCCGATTCTATATTCTTCCATAGTTTGGACACTCGCTGTTTGGTCCATTCTACATAGGATGTGTGTGGCTCTATAGTATACCCGAAAGTCTGGCAAAGCCAGACCTCCTCCATCTTTAGGCAGTGTGAGGACGCCGTGTTTGGTCTGTGCTTTGAGTTTGTGCCATATAAATCGATGGGTCAATGACTGGAGTGAGGTAAAGAATGCCTCTGATAAGGTGATGGGTAACGTTTGAAATAGATATAGAATCCTGGGTAAGATGTTCATTTTGATGACCCTGACGCTGCTGAACCAGGACAAACGGAGCTTAGACCACTCCTCAAGATCTTTACGAAGGGCGGTTAGAAGAGGTTGGAAGTTAGCTTGGGACAGCTGGGTGAGGTCCTTCGTGTTGACAATACCCAAGTATTTCAGTGTTGTGTCAGACCATTGGAAAGTAAATCTATGTTTAAGGGCCTGTGCAATGGATATGTTGAGGGTGGTGTATTTTGCCTAGTTTATTTTAAAATTCAATAGTGAACCATATTTTATTGTTTTTCGTCACCGAGGCTTCGGGGTCTGTGACGAAAAACAATAGTTTATCTGTGTATGCCGCGACCGAGTGTTTCCCTCCGCCCACCCGCAGGCCAGAAATGTCAGGATTTCTCTGAATTGCGTTCAGCAAGGGTTCGAGAGCAAGGGCAATAGGGGGTGAAAGGCATTCTTTATTTGGAATCAGTAATTGAAATGAAATATTAATAACCGTTCAGCTTTTAAATGAACCTTTGCCAAGTTTCCTTCTCATGTAGGAGCTGGAATTTTTTTTTTATTTCCTGAGTCCAAATAAATGCCTAGACATTGTTATTTTTTCCAGTAATATGGAGTCCAGTCACTCCTCTCCCTCTCTGAATGTAAGAGTAGTATCAGCCAGTGACGCTTCCTGTACCATTTGAAAGCAGGGGTTGAGCTTAAATTTTCAGTAACTTTACATTCATTATACCAATGACTAGTGGCTTCTGGCAGAGAAATTTGTTCCTCTACAGGGGGGTAATGATGACAAGAGTTTTTTTATTTTTTTATTCTTTATTTTCATTTTCAAGTCAAATAGGTAACATTGGGTAATGTATTAGTAAAGACAAAAGTACAATAATATACAGAAGTAAAAGTATTGAATAATACAGAACAGTTTAGGCTGCAGGTGTACAACATGCCTGTTTTGTGGAGGGGGGATTTGTTTACTCTGTAAGTGGAACAGAAGTATCTGTGGTTATCCTGTGCTTTCGACTGACCAGGCTTTTGGGGTATAGTGAGTGGCACTAGGCTGATCTGAAAGTATTAGTGCTCTGGAGGGCCTCCCCTCTCTCTCCTAGGTATCCTCCTCACACGTTAGTGTGGGTTTCAGTCGTCGAATGTCCGTGTCCTGGAGTCAGGGACCAGATTAGTTTGTCGTCTAATGGTGCCTCAGGAGTCTGTCATGTTTCTATGGGGCTGTTCCCTCTCCATGGGTTGGAGCGAGCTGTCCGTTCCCAATCATCGTGCATCTACATTGCGAGTGATTGTCCCCCGTGGCTTTTATGGGTCGAGGGTTGTGGCCTAATAGTGTGGTCATTGGCAGTAGGTAGGTATAGGTCATAAATGGCGGGGGTAATCTTGAGCAAGGGGAGAAGAGTAAAGGGAGTCCCGGTGGGGGGGATGTGCATGCACGCCCGTGCTGCCAAACCCCACACCCCTCCTCCCCCTTGGGTGGTGGGGTTATTGGGGGGTGGGAGGAGGAGAGCAGGAGAAGGGAAAAAGGGAGGGAAAAAATAATAAAAAGGGGGAGGGGGAGCAAAATGGGGAGGTGGCATGGATGGTAGAGTACAGTGAGTAATCTGGTACCAGGTCCGCCATGACGGTTGTCACGGGCCCGGCAACCCTGGGGGGCCCGGACGCCAGGGCCCCACGTGACGGCCGGTCACTTCCTCCCAGCTCACTCCGCGTGGGAGGAGAGCCAGCGTGGAGGCCTTGAAGAGGGAGAGCCACACCAACTCCCATCAGCCCCAGTCACCCTCCTGCAAAGAAAAGGTGAGAAACAGGAGGGTGGCTGAAAAAATAGCTGTGTGTGTCAGTGTGTATGTCTGTCAGCATGTATGCCTGTATGTCAGTGTGTATGTATGCCTGTATGTCAGTATGCATTTATGTCTGTCAGTATGCATGTCTGTATGTAT